TTTTACCGTATATATTTAGGAGGTGTTTACGAACCGATGGACATTTTTTAAAGACTATATATGGGATACCATCGGGTCCCGGTGCAGATTTAGACGACTTCCTCTTGATCTGACTACTTAATGATAAGGCGTATCTATCTAATGATAAGGCGTATGTCTAAAAATAATTTTAATATATTTTTTATTTCCAGATCATAATATTTTGCCAAAAGAGAGTGTCGTCACAGCTGACCTGCTGCTTCTTGTAGATAAACTCTTTGACTAGTTCAATCGTCATAGTTATCAGAAAGATGCTAAATTATATAGGATTACATTGTAAACGAATTCTCCACATTTCAAACTGTGGGATGAAACATTACCTGTATTAAACTCAATGAGATTTGAAGTAAATAAAAATGGTATAAAAAAATATTGTGGTACCATCCATTAAAAATTGTATACATGACATTCATGCAACAAGGGAGTTATTTTTTGATTTAAATAAATATAATGGCGTAAGCAGTCTTTTTAATGTAATGTAATGTATCTCCAACTTGCTCTCAATTTGTTGGAGCATACAACACTTTACTTGTAAATAATTTAACTTCGCCACATTCCATTGGTGCAAACTGTGAACATGACAATAACAAAATTTTAAAACCTTTAAGTTGCCTTATTAATTCGCAATTAAGAGTAAGAGATACATTAAATGAAAAAATAAATGTGGACTCTTTACTTAATTTGTTGCAAGAAAATGTCAATTTAAAACCCAGCAACATAATCAGCATAGAAGCTAAACGCTATATTGCTGGGTACGAGTATTTAGTACAAAATATATGTAAAAAGTGTAATACATGTAAAATGCAGCTGTTAAGTACAACACCTTCTGCTAATGATAACTATATTTTATTTAGAGATTACATTAAAAAATCCTGTAAGTATCCGTCGGTGGTGTTGTGTTCATTTTTAGATGATGTTTGTGAAGTCATACAAACACGATTAGGTGAAGAACCACAAACAAAAAATATCAAAAAGCTGATTTATATTGTGATTTTTCGTCTTTCTTGCGAAACGCATAAAAACCTTAAAGGAGTTTTATTAAATTATATCATACATTTAATAATTCATAGTTGGTGCACCAATGTTAACAGGCTGCTTACGGGAAAGTTTACAAATTGTCCCAATAATGAGGATAATGTTAAAGTCCAAGCGATTACATATTATAATACTCACAATAAGAAAAAAATAAATATTTGAATATATGTTCTGCTTTTAATTTTACTTATTTTTTAAGTGTGCTGAGTAAATAATGTAAATAGAGGCAAAACACCAGAAGTTGGATTTTTGAACCTATGCACATTATTTATTCTTATTTTAATTTTATTATTAACTTTAATCAACCAAAAATTAAAGTTAATAATAAAATTGAATTTTGCACTTTCCCTATTAAATTCGAATAACATTAAGCGCCATCTAGTGGTAACACGTCCTAGTTTCTCATTCAAACTTGCTAATGATATTGTCAGACAAATTAATTTAACTTAAAAAAAAGTCATAACTCTCTTTCTAATATAATATAAGCCTAAGTTGTTGTATTGAGACACCAAGAAGTGTATTACGAACATAATCTGTATGATAATTTAGTACCTCAGTTGTTTAGTTTTCTTTTTCTTCTTTATTCTAAACATTTCTCCAGAACTGTAGAGTTACAAAGCAATTTTATTGTACCAGGAGATAAATCTTTAGCACATATGAATTTTAAGTAGTTCCAACTCTTGATAGCTTTGATTTCCAACAATAGTACTGAAATTCTGTGCATGAAGGTTCTTCACTTAATTTTTGGATCCACATCAGTAGTACAATAGCATGCCTTGCATCCGACCTGGTAAGAAACATAATCATTTCATTCAATTGGTGCCAGTTTATCTTCATCATTCATTAATGTAGTGAGCCTATAGTTTTGGACTTATGTGCCATATGCTCCAGGAAATGTTAAACTTAACTGTATAAATATTAAATAAAACCAAGCTTTTCTGATACTATATTTTTTTATTTTGACTACATATCCTGATGTTTCGGTTCCTTTGCAACAACCATGATCACGGGCTGATGAGATGAATGTTTGTTTGACCTGAAGTAATTAAAATAAATTGAACCACTGATTGTATTCTTTTAATATGAGGAAAAATAGTATTAGTTCTAGTAGGTATAAGTATGGTATTTAATAGAGCAATAACACTAGTACTAAATAAGTAGTCAAATAGCTAATAGCAATAATCACAAAACATGTCTATTTTATTGTTATAATTAATTAAAAACCTATGAAGTATGAAGGTAAAATGTAAAGGTGGTAGAGCCTAGCTGTGGTCAAGACAGCTCTAACATGGTCTGGATCGACCGGGGAAGTACCACCCTCTCACAGAAGATTGGTGTGAAGTAGTCTTGAAAGAGTAAGCCAGTTGCCCTTTCCTTATTCCCACCTTTTCCTGATGTTCCCTTATTCCCACAACCTCCCTATTCCTAAAAAACAAAGGTTGACAACACATCCCCAACATAGATGTTGCGGAAATCCATGGGCGACGGTGACTACTGCCCATCAAGTAGGCCGTCTGCTCGTTTGCCAGGTCTTTCACATAAACAAAAAAAATTCAAATCGTTCAAAAGTATCTAGGGTGAAAATTAATATAAAAAAATGCTCATATAAATGAGAACAGCGTGATCAGCGGAGATTATGTTATTGTTGTTTCAGAAAAAATGGCCTACTATTGTGTTTTAAACTTATTAAATGTGATTTTTCTAAAATCATTGAATCGGCGATTTTAAGTACTGTCGTCGTGCCTATTTTGGTTAGGTAATTATGTGGAGCAATGATACTTTATAGTGTAATATTGAATAGATATGAAAAGTAGATTAATTATTGATACTTATTGAAAACATCTTTAAACCAGATTTTGTTTTTGGAATATCTTCAAAATCACAACGTAGTTGTAATGAATTTTTGTAATAATTATGATATTTTTATTGGACAGTAAAAATTAAGATAACAATCATGAACAATAACATATTCAACATTCCCGTTAAGAAATCAACCAAAATATTATTCAGCGGCATAACAATCCGCAAATTATAAATCAATAATTGAAATTTTGTATCTAGCTCAATTTTGTATCAATCTTTTGTCGCCAATTCAATGTTAAGATGTGAAATTGTGAAAGGTCTAAATTGCACACACTTAATTATTTTTGGTTGTGTTGCCATTATGCGGAAAATTTTAATCTTTTTATTGTTTTTTTTCTGCTATAATTATTATCGTATAACAGAAAATTTAATTTTATTAAATAATTATTTTTATTTCATTTGGCTACTCCAACTACATTTAGGGTTACTACATAATAAATTTAAGCCTGCTAACGTTAACCTCATTGACATAATTTTATACGCGTTTCTTTTATGTCTCCAGATCACAATTCAAAACTCAGTCCCTGGCTTTCTATTAAAGGTTACTCTTAATCTTATTTATTTAAGATTCCAGTTTTTTAACATTTATAATAAGAGGAAGAAAAATACACGAATAAAACAAAATTTTGATTGTTTTAATCTTGATATATTGCTTATCAGTACAGAATAACAAGAGTGTTTAAAAAATAAGAAACATCAACTTGAGAATTGACTCAAAATGCTAATAAATGCAAAAATCGTGAGATTACTATTCAACACATTGCGCTGTCACAATACTATGAAACAAAAACCTTTTGATAAGCCAATATATTAAATAAACGTTCACATCAATCAAAACTTATCCAATCGTAAAAAATACTTTAACAATATTATCTTTTTAAAATCTTATAAACGCTAATTAGGTACTACTAATATTTAGATAATATTATTACAATTTTTACTACTAATTTACTAAATTTAGATATATTTACAATTTTTCATTATATCCACAAGCTTCGCTGTGAAAGCGCAAATGTACCAAAATTGAGCATAAAATAAAGAACTTTCTCCTAAATTATCTAAATCAATTCACATAACATTTATTACGAAGTTTACAAATGCTGTAACAAACAACGCATTTAATAATTTAATTACACATTTAGATTATTCTCACACACTCTCACAGCACGAACTGTATCCGATTCTATAATTTAAATAATATAAATAATTCTGAAAATGCATTTTAACATGGTACGACTTCGTTTAAGCCCAATTAGAGGAGCTACAAATATTTATGTTACAATAAGTACCAACAAAAAATAAACAAACATAACATTAAGTACATAACACACAAAACTTGTGACATAATTTGTGTTAATATGTTGTGAGACGATTAGAAGCTAATATCACTAAACGAGGAAAGATATTCCTTATTGTGGAGTTAATAGTTATATCAAAACCATATAGGAGTTGATGGAAGTATTATGATTTGGACAAGAAGTGTCATCCAAATCATCATAGTTTCGTTCCAAATCGCGGCAGAAAATTTTCCTTGCATTTAGCACCATCTACATTCAACGACAAATAAACTCCGATTTGAAATGAAACTAATTTAATGTCAATATCATAAATGTCTACGAGCTAAAGCTAGTTGTTACGATTTGTCATAAAGCTAACTTACAATAATCCCGTACCATCACCAAAGATTGCACATAATACCCGATACTTTGATTTTTAATTGCAGTCATGCCATCATAAGGCATAAGGATATACCTCGACTGTGAAAAATAAAGGTATCTTCAATTCAGAACAACAATAACGCATGTTCTGTCATTGGAATTAGACCTTTATGAACAAAATGTTTTGTATGTAAACATTTTGTTTGGAAGACATACATAATAAATGCAAGAATTTCATGCAGAGGCTGTTTCCCGTGCACACTGGGAACATAATCAAAGTCCTTTAAATTAACCAACGGACGGAATAAATTCGTATATCATTACACAACTCTGTACCGAGATATTGAATGTATGTATTAATAAATTATGAAGTAGCGGTACAAGTCAGTCAATGTAATAGTTTAATTAGTTGTGTACTGGCATGGGCAGTTGTCCCAGCAGTTGGTTGGCAAAAGTTGCGTTCGTGAATTTAAAATGTCTCTTGTCGTAGAACTTCAGAAGAGCTGGAGAATAGGGATGCTGTTTCTTGAGATGCATGTAGTGTTCTTCTGGTTCTGATGTTGTATGACCACACTCTTCGCACACGTACATCTGAAAATTAATATTAAATATGAATAATGTTTATCTTATCACAATTTACTTATTTTTAATAAGGAATTAATAACATTATTAATAATTACCTTAGTCCTTCTTTCCTTATAAGCATAAGTGTGTTGAACTCCGTGTACTTTTAGACAGTGAGATTCTAATGAACATCTTTGGGTAAAGGATTTTTCACATAAATTGCACTTGTAAGGCCGGACCCCGGTGTGTGTTCTTGTGTGCCTCTTAAGGTCAAATGTATCATTGAAGCCTTTACCACAGAAAGTGCAAAGGTATCGTTTCACATCAGAGTGGCATTTCATGTGTCTATTCAGAAGCCTCTGTAAACTGAAGTTCTTCGAGCACACTCTACAAACAAATTTTGTGGGATCATCTTCGCTTACAAGCACTTGTTTATTTTTTTCTTCTTCCCTCTGTCTAGCGTTTGCTTCAGTAGCTAACGGATTCTTTACACCATGACCACCGTTGATAAATTCTAATGGCAGCTCCGCTGGTAAGCCCAACTGCAAAATCAAAAGTTATTGTTAGAAAAATATCTATATCTTTAGGACAGCCAAATTGAAAAGAAAATCTAATATATGTCAACAATTTATAAGGCTGAGCTTAATAGTTTAGAGCTGTCCTTTAAAATGTTATTATTTGACTAAAAAGAAAATCAAAATTTGCAAGAGGTGAAAGCATGAGTTGATTCAGGCTCAGCGTTATATAATAACGACTGTTCTTTTTTTATAAAGCTTCAATGTCAATGACACCGAAGACAGAATAAACCAAAGCTTCGCCTTAAAATCAAATAATGCTTACCCTTTGTTGCAAAATTTGAATTTTGCTATCGTTGATAGAGCCTTTCTTCAAACTTACAGCAGCAGCAGGGCTGAGAGCAGAGTTTTCGATGTGGTTGTTGCTGTCCAAAGAGTTGTTGCCACCGGGCGATGGCAGTGAAACCCCAGTTGGTGAATCCAGGTCTAAAGAGTGACTAGTGAATGGGAATACAGGCGACAATATTTGTTGTCTTTGTTGGAGTTGAACGTGAATCTGTAATTGTTGCATTTGACCCTCATTGTGTTGGAGTAATGCTGGGTTTAACTGCATTAGTAAATCTGGCCTCTCCTTGGCAAAATTGTACGTTGAACTTTGTTCTTGGCTTGCAAATGCTAAGTAATTGGCTTTTTCGTAATACTGTCGACTTAAACTAACTTGTTCTGCCAATGATTCAATGTCTACTGGATTGTGCACTGAGTCAGGAGTAATTGATGAGGATTCACGTAATTCAGAGTCAGTTATTGACTCAACATGATTATTCAGCAAACTTGCAAAATCTTCCGTTGAATCTGATAGGTTCCCTAGAATACCTTCATTCGGTGCAAAAGTTAAAGTTGTGTAAAATTGGTTATTATCTATAACATCTTCACCCATATCAACAACCATTGATTCATCAAAGTTACTTCCGTAACTACCAATGGTTCCTAAGTTCTCTAATTTGTTCTCATAATCAATTTCTTCATCTTTAAGAGCTAAGCCGTAGTGGGCATTTTGCATAAGAGAATATTGTTTGCTCTGTTCTGAGAAATTTGTATTTGCGTTTTCGGTATTCTCACAATCCATGTTAAAGCCATTAATCATGTTAAACTCATTTGAGAAGTTACCATTTGCATTGTATGTATTTTGTCCATTTTTAGTTGAGGGTCCCAAGGTTTCATAAAACGGTGGTAGACTACCAGTTGGTGGACTGTTAGGGCCGTAATTAGATCTACCATCTCGACCGTTACCACCACTGCCTGAGCCACCGCCAAGAGCCCCACCTCCACCAGATGAAGGGGCAGCACTTCCAGTACCGGAGCTGAAATTTCCTGAGCCACCACTGCTTTGGGCATTACCGCCTGAACCACTGCTGCCAGTTGACCGGCCATGGCCAGCTGCGGCATTAATAATTCCTGGAATCTTATTGCTTCCTGGCCGATTTCGCAATACTAACACAGGTCGAGCCAGAATTCCATTTGCGATTTTCGAGCTGCTTGTTCTTCTTTGTTCTCTTATTTTCTTTTCTGTCTCTTCATCTTCCGTTTCACCTCGTTTTTTTGCAATGGCATAATCAATAGGCTGGTCTTGCTCCGGTTCGGAGGTAGGCAAAGTATTTGGAATTGTTACATCAGACAATTCCTTCTTATTCTTTTGGAATTGTGATTGTGATGGGGTTCTTTGTATCACTGATACTTTCTGACATGTGATACTGTTATCTATTCCAGGGGAAGGTATGGATTCAGGTGAAGGTGATTTTCTTGATGGAAGGACGACTGGTTCACTTTCTAATACATCTTTCTCTTCCTTAATTAGAGGTCTTTCTTCAGATTTTTTTTCTTCGGGAGCGACTGGCAAATACAATTTTCTCTCTGCTTGTGTAAGAACGTGTCCCCTATGGCTACCATAAGGAATTTCGCCACCTAATATTGATGATATAAATCTTCTCGGTTCTTTAATGCGACGATCTTGCCCACTATTAGCTCCATTGCTTTCTCCAAAGACATCGCGATCTGTAATTTGCAAAATAAAATTTTTAGTTCATATTGAATAAAAACTGATATAAATGAGGACTCTTGTGATTATAATTAATATAAATAAAGTTAAAATTACGTAAAATCTTGGTTTATTATGAACCTGTTGTTAAGCAATCACTATTCTTGAAGGTTTATATCGTATTCGTAAAGCGTCTCGTGTGGCGTCGTTCACGTCACCGGTATGTGCCTCCATAACGGTAATACTCGCCTCCACATACACACCCACAGCATTGTTGTGTATGTATGTATGTGTCATATTATAATTGACGTGCCAGTTAACAAAATACCAAATTCAATTTCGACCCGACCAAAAATATTTCATTGATGACGAAGATAAATATGTTTGAAAGAAATCAAAAATAACTAGAGTACGATTATGTTATGAAGATATTTAGCATATACTGATTTTAATTCGCACTGCTACCTATTTATTAGGTAGATTTAAAATGAGATTTAAGGCATGATTTTCAAATATATTAGGAAGGAAGCAATTTAATATTCAATCAAATAGAGCAAATACGCGTAGGTAGCCAGTGAAAGTCCCAAGGTTGGTCGAAACAAGTTCCTTTGCCCTTTCTCAGCTTTTGTTAGGGGCTCAAGGACGCTGCCTGCATTGTTGAGTCCTCTTTTTTTGTTTCGTACCCGTAATTGTAAGCGTCTGCGCGGGCAGGCTTGACATTTCGGATCTGATACAGATATCTATCAATATGACAGTATTCTTGTGTAGGAATTCCTAGAAACATCAACTCTTAAGATGAGAGTAGGTACATGAAGGAGTTTTTTACATGTAAAAAGTGTTTATTTCATATCAGTGTCATTAAATATCAAAAGTAAAATATTACAAAAACTCGTTTAAATAAGTTAAAAAATATAAGTGATTATTCGCGGTTTGTATCACAGAAAATAAGTTCTCAAGCATTTCATTAAACTCGTCCCGTTTGGTAATTATCACGGTTATTTGACCCGTAACCATGAAATAGCTTTTATTGGTTTATAAAGTTTTACTATTTATATAATTCCTAATAGCTTGCCATATAATAATCTCGATATGATGAGTTTACCTAACATTTGATTGACGGTAATTATTATTATATCGGGCTTATCGTTACATAGATTTACATCTCAGTGCGTATTTTTATAGTCCGCATTGAGTTGGCTAACGAGGTCTATTTAAATAGCGCGGGTTTTATTCTGAACGGTAAGTCAAGGCCCCGTAATTACTATGTCCATATCTATTCAGTTTCTTGCTGTTTCCTGCCGAGAAACTGTACGTGTAACCTTGAACGCGAGCAACTCATTATTTGGCTATTACAAAGCCAGCCTTCGCATCACTTTTTGGCATTAATTAGTTATATTCGTTCACGGCCACATACAAGCATATCTGAATCTCATGCTAATAGACATACGTATTCTATTTGCTTAAACTATATCTGTTAGAATTCGCTTACATTAAACAAAGAGTGTTTATGTTGTCCATCTGTGCTGATTAGCATGTTATAGTCGTTTGTTGAATGGTGTTTTATAGAAAATAAATAAAATGTAGTAACAATAATTATTTACAGTTATTAATGGCCTATTAAAATTGTTTCTTCGATACCGCCTTAATGATATCACTTAAAAATCATTTCAACATATCATTATGCGAAGTTAATGCGCTAAAAATATTCTGTGGTCTCGGCTACATGTTATTAATGTTCACTCCTGATATGCGAATCATTAGCGGTACAATTTAAAATTAAATAATTAATTAGAATATAATTTAATGTATGTATCTATTCAGATACTTCTTGTATTCAATGTTAGTTTTTATCATCATCAGAGTCAATTTGTTCGACGTTACAATATTTTAACGTAACACAATGGTTCACTCGTCGCTAGCAAATAAAAATAAAAACTAGCGAGCGGTCTGACTAGTCCGTATACTATAGGGTTATCGCACGCTGTTAGCATTTAACGCTTTATAAATGTAAGACAACTATGAAGAACTGCCTCGGAGTGAACATAAAATTCCGTTGAACCTTTTTTTAAATGCCCAAGTACCGATACCACACGGTTGACGATACGGGAACGTTAAGGTCATTCGGAAGGACATTTTTTCTTGTCGTGTATTATTTTATAGACGCATGTGTTTTGTTTAAGTGTCCCTCTTGAAATATGTCTTGTTATTTCCTAATTAAGTTCCGTTAATCCTAATTATTTTTAAAAAATGATAGATTGGTTTAGAAACACAAGCGTTATACGATGAGATTACATTCTAAAGACCTTCCATATTTTTTGAGCGCGGTACATAACGAGCGTTACAAAAAATCATACCTACCTATTTCTTGTATCTAAACGAACAGGAACAAAAACTGTTAACGCTTTATTATTACTTTGATCACAGCGTGAATCACAACCAGATTTGGCAAGGGTTAATGACCCAAATATATTTTGTCGAAGTGCTCAAGGCTATGCGATTAATTTGGTTTTGGTATATGAAACAAGTATACGTATTCATTTAATTAATAACTAGTAGTAATTAACGAGGTATCTCAGTGGTTTGTTAAGATAACCGTTAAATTTCTTAGATAATAAACTTTGTGAACAATCGTTATGAATATTTAATGTTTTAGCGATTTAAGGAAACTCTTCGAATGCAGATATCTGACCATTCCTGACTCGAATCTAAACATTCTTAAGCAGTCTAACAGGTTCATTAATGGTGAAGTAGAATTACAACAAATCGCTCCTAAATAACTACACGAAGTTATCTTTATTGCATGACACAACAATGACCTTACTCTAAGAACTAATGCGTGCGAATCGTTTTGTTTTTTTAACATCAAAACTGTAATATTTTATATAAAACCAAGATATTATGTGACGTAAGTCATGGCCTCTGTCTAGGTGGTCCTTAAGGCTTGATAAGAAAGAATGGGTTGTGTCAGGGTATCAAATCCTTTGGCATTTAAGTGATTAATAAATCTTTGTCATAGCACCAGATAAACTCTACAAAGTATTCTATGTTTAGGCTTCTCGTAATAACTCATTCAAGACTTGTATTATTATTATTTAAAGTTTGAACAAAGTAACTGTAAATCGTGGTTATACCTTACACGTATAATCTTTCTGAGAACAATTTAAGAGCGTATTAACTATTCATTTTGAAGCAATTGTTTTTAATTTTTTTGGCAGAAGCTTTTTAAAGTTAAGACGTAGTTAATCACTAACATTATAATGTTTTTCTCTGGAAAGTCACAAGCAAACGGGATTAAAAGATATAAGCAAACAATGAAGGATAAAATTTAAAAATTCAAGGTCGATACAGTAATTTAAAGAGTATATTGGTTACAGTGGTTCATAAAATTGGTTATTATAAATTATAGACGATAATTATAGGGTTCGGAAATCTTGCGGAGCAACACTTACAAGCTTGGAATGGGGAAAGTATGATGTAATGTAATATTGGTTTTAAAAAAAAATGTTGAAAGTTGTTTATGAATTAGATATTTATTTAGAAAGATTAAAGCTTGGATGAATGGATACATATTTGTTTCTTGTATCTTAAAAAACTGGACTGCGTGAACAAAGTTACGGGAAGCAACTAGTTCATAATTTTTACAAAAACATTAAAGGATGCGTCCACTTGAATATGCATAACGTTTGAGACTGTTATACTTAAATAGAACGCGATAAAAACTGTCTACAAATAAGCACAGATGCCCTTCCTATATACGACTGGCAATTAAAAACTGCCCGCATCTCAAGAACTCGATATTAACATATGCGAATGTTCCTAGAAGGAATTTATCACGTGTGGAGCATCTTGTGACAAAAAACAAAGCTCATGGATACGAATGGCCAATGCAAATATATCTACTAGGTTTTCTAGTTAAAGATACTAGCTATTATTATAATCTAATCCTACAAAGAAATGCATTATATAATGTACTTTAAAATTAAGCAGTTTAAGATTTATTCAAACAGAAAATCGTCTTAAAAATGGTTGAGATAAGATAAGCCTGTAATTGAAAATGACTCCAATTGTTTGGGATATATTCCGAGAAATGTTCGGACTGAATGCAATCTTACTTTTTATGATCGCAAATCTTTGTTAAGGCAAAACGTTAAAAAGGTGCGTACAATGGCTTAGTGTACAATGGACGTGCATATGTTCTTCCTTTTTTTTGGTTATAATGAATTACTTTTCACAAGAAACGATCGATGTTTTAATGAATCTTAAATGAAAATATTTGGAAGATTATTAAATGGAAAGAAACGTTAAGAGTTCTGAACTAATAATTTGAGTCTTAATAGTTTTGTATGTCTGTAATTGTTCTGGCCCTTGACCTTAGTTGTATGTATGTTTGTGTGTATATAGCACGTATGTAATTATTACGAACTGTTGCGTTCTTGATAGGCTTTATATAAAGTTTTGAATTAAAATACGATAACGGTTTAAATTTTATTTAACATTTTTATTGTTTTTTTTTCTTGCATTTTATTTGGTGCACCGATAACTATTATAATGTTTTATTCTGTCATTCATTACTTTTAATGCTAATTATAAAACTGTTTTAAATGTTATATAATTATAAAAAATGCAGTATATAAAATTTTTAACGGATAAAAAAAATATAAAAGATACACTGCTCATTTAAATTCGTACGACATTCATTTACCAGTTCGGTTAATTAAGCTTTTCAATTAATTAGTTAATCAATAGTTAACGAATGATCTTGCCCGGAAGGCTTCTATTTTCTATTCTTAACTCATGTCAAATTAAACAGAGACCTGTTACTACAAGTTCACAAAGTTATGAAACACGAGAAGTTCTTTTCAAGGGTATATACTATCTATAAGGGAAGTCAACAGGTTCAAATAAAGCAAGATTATTTTGAAGTTAACTATCAACTGAACAACATGTTACCAACCTAATTCTTTAATTACATAGCATTAGTCTCATCTCATTAAATCCCAAGACCGATGACGCGTTGAAATCTTTTATATGAAATGTAACAGCGCTCCAAGAATACCTTCGTTTCACCATATAATAAATAACATTTAGAAATTTTATGTACGCAATTGACAGTTGGTACCCTCATAACTTCCCCACTATCGCTGTGACCTTATAACAAGTGCTTGAACAGGTGTAACTTCACCTGGAATACAATGTCTAGTTATATTCGTCTTTTATGTAGGATGCTAGGGTTGCTACATCGAAGTTTTCGGGACGTCCAGAGATAGACCATACAATAATCATTATTATTTCATTAACCTCGTAAATGTATTAATCGAAATACCTGAAAATTACAGTATCAACACATTCAGGTTGTGATAATGAAAATGTTTTCATTCACGATAACATTAATTCAGTTTGATATTTTAATTGATTGGCTGTATTAAGGAACTTCCTGAAGATAGGAAGGTGGCAACCCTGAAAATGTTCCGATAAGGGACATATGCGGGTGTCGTAACGGTAAAGCCGATATGTTTCTCGCTAATGGATGTTCTATGTTGAATTTTAGATACTATATTGCATTGTATGTACAGCCTTAAACGAGACTCGTCAAGCCTTATAATAATAGGTATGCTTCAACTACAGTTGGGATTTAGATTCCCAGAACAAAAGACTCACGAGTAAAATGAAAAAAAATCTAAATCAGATGCAAAATTCAATGTCATTGTTTAATAAAACAGTGTTTTATTCAAAACCGTAATAATCGTGGTTAATTATATGGCAGCGATTGCGGTGAGTGACCCAAATACAAAGCGATGGCCGACGGAAACGCGCCATTGTGCCGCAATCATTGACACCTCGCCGGCAAATGCTGACGATTCAACTCGACCACTGATTCATCACAGCTTCCTATTTATTCATCATGATCATCATCATCACTACAATCAATATACTACAAGTCATCATCTGTATTTTTACGTTTTTGCTTTTGTACCCAAAATTTTGGTACCTTGAATTTATTCCTCTGATAGATATGATTTAGATGTACGGACTATAGATTCGGTTTTGAGGATTCTGATATTGAAACAACAGACATCCTAACATGTTAGCATTCATTATAAAACAATGAATTCTAAATGAAAATTCTATTCGACTGAAACATTCTGTAAGCTGAGAACGAGCGAGACAATAAACATATTGATATTTTAGCAACTAGATGCGAATAAACATTGGAAAAATCAAAAACAGAACAGTTAGTACAATGATTCACATCTCCAAGCACCTGACACCGTTAATATGATGACGTCTGGCTTCCTTTATTTAAACAATAATAAAACATTTATGTATCTTCAAGGGTAATTACGAATCTATTAGATTTGGTTAACCGAAAATCTTTTGAGATTCATTTTAAATCTAAGCTATCGACTATCTTTAAATCAGATGACAACAGTATTAGTATCACGCAAGTCACACATGATCGCAGGTAGACGTTTGTCGACCGAGAACAGGATTCGGACCGAGAATCCTTTTTTTGGTTCGTCGGCCGGCCGTTATGGAGGAAGATGTAAATAAAAATATTCACCAAGAAATTACTGCTATGAAAAACGGTATCTACATACAGCCAGTGCAATGGTAGTGAAATTGTAAGAATAATAATTACTTAAGATAAAAATAGAAGAGATCGTTTAAAGGCGATGAAAGAGTTCGTTATATATTTTAAAAGGACGATGGATGTTACAAAAAGATGTCTGAAGCGATGAATGGGCGTATTGTCATGAAGCCAGACTCACCGACGCATTCCTTATCCTTTTTGGACAGCAGAGGTATCGGACCGTCGTCCAGTGGAGAACCGGGGCATAGCGGGTCACCTTTACCCAACAACTCCTGCCCTTCTTGAAGGCCTAGCTGCTGTTCGTGCAGCCGTTTCTTGATGAGGAATATCTTCGGCATCTTCGATATATAAACACTTCACACTAGTCTAAATATACGTCGATACAATCCATTTAACACAGGTTTGCATCATAACACTGCACGGCTGTTCGCGTATGTTTTCTGTTAGCGGACATGCGGTACCGTTGGCCGCTAAGAGAGGACTGAGCGTCGGTAGGTGTGATCGCGGCACCGTTGCCCGGACAGGTCCGCCCGCGCCGCCCCTGCGCCCGCGCAACTAATAAAGATTCCAGTAAAAGTGCTTGCACATACTCATTCCTCTGTCATAATAGATTTTTTGGGATTGTACAGTTCTTAGGATTGTATGGTCCGTGTAAATGGTATCGGAAAAATTTAGATGATACTTATCTTGACTTTATTTGTTACGTGGTGATTTTTTTATTTGGAAAATGTAGTTTGACCACATTATTAAGTTTAATAATGTTCGAAGCTGCTTTCATTTAAATAAAATAAATAAAGTACAGTATAAGTAGTATAATCTATACCGGTTATAGTATAAAAAATTGGTCTTACAAATAATAATTCCAGGAATTATATTGAACCAAGATCAGTCTGAGATGAGTCACGAGATCGGTAAAGACTATAAAACAATAACAGCAGACACAATTGTGATTTAGTATCGAAGGCTTAATATTGATGTTTGAACGTCCACATCCATACAAGTTTCATTATTAAGTTTCATCACAAAGCAACTAATTTAAATATGAAGCATCATAGATATTGCCATCATCTCCTGGATCTGAATATTCATGACTTTAGAAATTCTCAATAACAAAATGTGTCGGCGTCTTTTTAAGTAAAAGGAGGATTAAGAACAAACGAATCCTTAGAGAAACTAATGCTGGGTATTCACCGTTTTAGAAAAACGGGGATTTACAACAACAAATAAAATATGAACAATAACAGAGACAAAACCATTTACAGCAAGTTTTATAACAAAAATTTTCTGTGTCCATTTTATTGTTTCTTTTAATTACATCGGCATTTGGCTCCGTCTGCGCCGATAGTTTCATGCGGACGGCAACATTCAATCTGCCTTTGTAATAACAAAATGTATAATGAACATTTCAAAGCCTAGTTTTATAATCAACTTCCTGACAATGCCTGATATTTCCTGCTAAATGTAAATAGAAATCATTGTATCCAACTTCCGTACTTAAAAATATCTAATGGACACATCTTATCTTTTGATTGAACTTTAACTAACACGTTATTATGAGTGATGCTTAAGAATTTGTTATTCCATGAAGGAATTTTCTGTGTGTAGTTGAAAAAAAGAGATTATGTCGGCCATGATCCTAACGAAACGGTTTTACATTGCTCTGGCGAGAACTGTTTAGTTTTTTTGCAGATTACGTCTCTTGTTTAGTGGATGTGAGCAAAAAACCCGTACCAAAGTATAACCGCACCTTATTTTGTATACGTTAAGTGTATAAACATCTTAGAAGATGTAACAAATATATAAAATAAAAATTACATTCATTAATTGAATAACGGTTTCGTTTTTAATAAATATTTATAATACTTTGACGTCTTTTGTATAGCTGATACATAAGTTATTTTAACCGTGTCTATATAGAAAAACAATAAACTTTATTAAAGATTTATATATTAAATATTGATGTATTTGAAAGTGTCCATACATTTCTCGGACCGCTAATACGACCTTAAAAAGATGTTGAGTGATTTGTTAACATTTTTTGCTTAAAAAAACCTAGCTGGCTACCGTTTCAAAAAAGGTTTTTTGTTCCTAACATTGTTTGAAATCTGTCGATTGCTGCAATTAGCTACTTTATTAATTGGATAATGTAATAATTTTATTATGAAATATATTTCATGAAAAATAAATTTATTACTTTTTAAAATAATATTATTATTTTATAATAGTACTTCTGTTTCATATATTTTATCATGCGTTTTGTGACTAATAATGATACCTTCAACGCGACTTTCGTATTATGCAACTTACGCTTCCCTCCTATTCTAGTCCAAGTTCTAGGCAAGTAACCTTCTTCAAGTTTAGTTGCCAGTTCACTTTACAACATACTCGTATCATAGAAGACGATTATATCACACTTAATTTCACTTTGTTTTTTTATGAAAATACGCAATACAATATAAAACTTAATATTAAGGAATTACAATAGTTGTATTGTTGCTTACTATGAAAGTCATTGTCATATAATTATTTCATAATAAATTATTATATGAGCACAATATACAGGAAAGATTAAATTTTCTTTATAACAAAAATCTAAAGATAATTTTAAATATAGTACAGGAGTTTGTTATACAATCAATGCCATTAAGTTGCATGAATTATGTTGGCCCGAGTCTAATTGAATTATTAAATGAAAACATCGAAAAATGTCTTCATAATTATTTATATTCCAATTAATTGATAATGCTATCATGTCTGAGATGTTAAATTAAATTGATCTGTGTATTATGATATATAAGAGTTTGTTAAAGAAAAATCTGGAACTATTATTGTTAATTTCGTAATACACAATGATTATTATATGTATATATGTAAGATATCGATGGATTTTTACATACAACTGATGCTTTTGAAACTTTGCATAGGAACTATGACATGCATGTACGTCATTTAAGCTTGTTAAAATTTTTTGTAAACCTACTAGTGCTTTAAATAATGTTTCTAAGCCCTTATACATTAAAGAGTGTGTTACTTATGCCCTTTTATTGAAATAAAAACTAAGTTTTTCCACAAACAAATACACATTTTTTTAAATGGATGTTGCGGAATACAGAATTATTAAGTGTTTAAAGCAACAAAATAAAAATGGCTTAATAGCTACATTAGCCCATATATATAGAACCCATCTATATACCGGACAGAATAGCTTGGCAATCTGGCGTACCTTTAAAAATAAACTGTTTGTTTGTTGATGAGAAAAAATTCTGAACCATTTGTGGGTGACATATATTAAAGTGCTTTTAAATAAAATAAATCATAAGTTGAACTCGTTTATAGGAAATTAAATAAATGTTTTTGGATGACAATAAAGTTATTTCGTAAAAGTTACCGATATATGTAACTGTTTTAAGAGATTTCATAAATTTATATATTCCCAAAAAAAGAAAACAAAATGTAAAAAGATTTATAAATATTCATGAAATAGTTTTAGTATTAAATAAAACTAAGAAAGAAAAAATATTAATTCGCAATTAATTATTTAATTTTCAGCATATCCCCAATAAATGTATAAATGTTAGATTAACATTTACCTAAATTAATGCAAAATTATGCATGCAATATAACATTTGATTTGCATGATTTTGATAATATATTCATAGTAAAATATTGAAGTGTCATTGATCTCAAAATGGCTTCAGGGTGAAATTAAAAAACATATTCTGCGCACTTTTATAAGAGAAAAGTGATTAGAAATGTTCTGTTAACCTTAAATATGAAAAAGGAAAGAAGATAAGAATGCAAAAGATTTATATATATATATATATCGGATTTATTACACATTCGTAGTTTTTAAAGAGAGGGATGCCAGCCTCGCTGACGTTACAAATATCACTTCTTCTAGTACGGTCCATGATATTTTAAAATGAAACTTCAATTGTTCTTAATGCTCCTATATTTCTCAAAGATTCTTCATAATAACATACTTCAATGATACACACTCACTGAACTCTGAATTATCAATCCTGAATTCTCAATTCTGGAGTCCGCCGTCGTGAGTCCAGACGTCATATTTATAACAAGATTCAAACATAGTTCCATTCTCCTTTGATTTCGTTTTACTTTTAACAATAATCATAAATACTAATGAGGTTTAATAAGAATTGATGACAGCCTCAAATTATTTTCAAGTCGCATCCGTTATTAAAGCTGGTAGCGCCGATATATATATACTTGGAATCTGTATTCAATATACGTTACTAATAAAACTCTGATTATATTACATAAATGCAATGCAACAAGTGTTCAGACAACGGTATCGTGTGCAGGCGAGATACGTTTGCCAAATATTAAGTACATTCGTTCATGATTGTTTCATACTAAAAATCTATTGTAATTTATAAATTCCTTTATTGGACCTTTCAAAGTTATTAGTTAAGTAAAATAGTGATTTAAAATAGTTTTTTAACTACTTTTTTACATGCTATACATTACATGCTATTACGTACTCAGATTTCATATCTTAATCTTTTAAGGATCACTTATTTTATAAACAAATAAGAACTATTAATAAAATGAATCCAAACTATTTATCACTTTTCTATAACTGAAAAATAGCTTGATTAATATTATTTTCAATGTTATTCTTAAGTTATATTTTATTATTTAATATTGTATGTAGGTTTATATAAAAAAAAATGCAATTGTTTCATCATTTTATAAGTATATTATTAAATAAAAATAATCCTCAATCAATAAATTGGTGAAGTTGAAGTTATATCAAACCAAAACATTTTATATTACATAAAAGACACTTTTAAAATTTCGAGTAAAACAAAAAGCAAAATTACAGCATACTTCTTAAGCTGACAGAAAATTCTTAAATACACATACATATTCATACATACACTTATACCGGTCGTCAAAAGGCTTGCGGGGCGAAGAGCGCGGGCGCCTTGGGTACAGCGACCGCAATAACTATGCACGACGAAAAACAACCTATTCGACTTGACATACATTAGAAAATATACTCTATTAATATGATATAAGAGTTATATTCGACTGTTTAGAGGATATTATTCGTGTTTCGAGTCAGTGAAGGTACAACGCTGCGCTACCATTGCCCATTGCCAAGATCACGGATCGTGCCGAATGTCAAGCGCGTCACGATCGAGCTTTGTGGTAACGTTGAATAGATCTAAATTAAGTTGGATGTACGTTTATTAAATATACAGAATTTATTAAAGAACGATACAGTCAAAGGAATTAATTATTTATTTTCTTATATCTCTGGAGATCCTTCCTGATCTTGTTTATAGACATTCAGATAATCAAAGTGAGACCTTTTATCAAACATCTAACAGTATTGGAACGTATTAGTACAGTTTCAGTATCGATTCTCAAAATCTTTCGAACCAATTTATGTAAGAACCTAAATAATAAACGTTACGTCCAAGAACATTATCGGCGTCCCATATCGTTAATAATATGTTCATTATTTAATACAATGAACGGTTTGATATAATGCAATTTATATTTATAACTGAAGACAACAAACAAAAGGTATGTATTGGAGATACCTACTGAATGATTTGTTTACCAATCACGTACTGGGGCCGTTCCCCAAACGCCTCGCTATTATGCAATCGTCTCACACAAATACGGCCGTTTTTTGCCCGCACCGTCACAAACATAGCTCCAACACTCCCAACGAGTTCTGTCTCGAACAGTGTTCATAATAGCTCGCCCTATCTTTATATGGGCCGAGACGTAGACTCCCGCAATCCTCATTCAATTCACGTAAGGTAGCGGCTTAAAGGACCGGGTTTTTGTAATAGTGCAACAGGTAGAAAGGAAAGGATTGCGAGCGTGGGAGAGAGAGGCGAGATCCTCTTCGCATTCCGTCTCTCTCTTGCCGGGCATCGAGACGTCCGACGCAGGCGCAGGAATGCCGTACGATTTGTGCGCATGCGGACGGTTCTTATAGAACTGTATAGCGTATACATGTATATATAGAGAAGCGCTTAGCCAGCACACACTGCCCTAATGCGTATGGGTCATGTAGCGGGATCACAGAGTTTAGCCAGTGAAATTAAATTGAAAGGGAGTCTTATAATTTTTAGCCATTTTCCATATTGTGGACATTGACCCAGTTCATGTTTATTGATATGTTTGTAACAAATAAATTATTTTTATTTTAATAAATTATATATTTATGAAAACAATTATAAATCAGCTATAGGTAGATGTTTTTATTTTAAAGATATAGAAATCTTTTTTCTTTCTATTGATAGTAAACGAATGAATTTCGAAGCAAGGATAACATGTAATATCTATCTTCAACAAAGAATTAAAAATAAATACATAAATGTATCATTGCTGTTGTTGTCAATTTAGAAGTTGTTTTAAAATATTATATAAGCTGGTAGGAGGGTGGTGTATGAGACGAAAAACCTCCTAATGGCACATAATACCTGAATATCACGTACATAGTATTTGTTGATAGTTATGTACAAGTAATGTCGGTCGTTTGTGTAAACACGTCGCTGATACATAAAAAGTTTCTTCCAATCCGGTAATACTGGTTCAGAGCGACGACCTCTCCGGAGTCTGCTTTAATGGAAATTGATTTTATTCCGACATGATAAGGACGTTTTTGATAGATTTTTTTTTATTTATAAATTGGTCAGCTGGTTCCATGACAATCAAAAAATCATTCCATTTATTCAACTCCTTTTTTTTATTAAGGAAGTTTTTTTGGAATTGGATTAATATTGACATAAAAGTACATTTTCTGATGAAGTTTTGTGTCCATAAATTTTGTTACTTTTTGCTGTGATTAGGTCTAGTGTTAGCTATAGTTTATCCAATAGCGGCATTGCTACCGACGCTGAGTCTGACAATTGAGGCCGTAACTCATATAAGGCCTAACAACCCGCCGCAGCCTTCCGCGGAGCACTTACATCAGACTCTATAACGTTACGAGCCTTACGATACCGGTTATAGCACGCAAAGCTAAGATCAAGTTTGATATAAAAAGATTTGTAATAACATTTCCGTTACAATATTTGTCCTTTCCGTCTTAAACTATATAAGTGTTAATTCTATGGTTAATAATTAATATTTTGCTATTTGACATGAGGTAAGTTAATTTCAATTGAATAAAGGGGAGTACTTTTCTGTGTCACAATCATTGCAGGAAAAATCTATGAAAAAAATGAGATCATAATACGATGAGATGTTAATGATGAGGCTAAGGGCCAACATGAACTTGCTACAATAGTGTTGCAACGCAAGTCGTGGGTTTAGCGGTTGTGCTCGACGGTGCAGCACGATCTAGCGTTCCGCTTTGCGCCGGCGCATACACCTCGCCCCCCGCTCCCCGCAGCCCCGGCCTCCCCTCCTCCTCGAACTGCCTCACCCGCATCGCCCCTGACCGAGACATTTCGTGTCTACTATCTGGCATTTCTTTCTCAGCAAAAGATGCTGTGGCTACATTTATTTTATAGCCTTCGGAAATTATAGGTTCGTAATTTATATAACCGAGCGGTTAATAATATTTTTTTCAGTCATTAAATACTCGTAAAAATAACCGTTCTGCGGTTATAATGTCGGGCCAGGTTTATTATAAGCTCAGTCATCCTCTTAATGAATGTAATTAATAAAATTGGGGCTAATAAGTAATTAGACGTAACCTTGTGAAAGCCTTATTTATAAACGTTACATTGAGAAACTAAAAGTAAATTGAATCTCTTTACGTGGTTCAGCTAAAAATACATTTGGCGTTTTTTCATAAAATTACTCTACCAATTTTAACGATGAATGAAATCAAGTCATTACATTAAATATAATAAATTTGGATATATGATGAGCAAAAATTATAAATTTGGATAAAATTGGAGTGTTTGTATACGGATTATAGCATACCTTATACAGGGTGACTGGTGAATTACTATCGATATTTGAGGACGTGATATTTGACGATCATATATGACAAAATAAAAATTAATATAACATAAATATTAATAAACTTCTAAGTAAAGTTAACCAAAAGTTGTGTAATTAATTACGCATCGTATGAACACCCTACAGATTAGGTATACACTGACACTCACACATACGCGTGTCGTGACGTGGTGTTGTATCAGCACGCCGCCGCACGCGTCCACACTTGAACACTTGGAACGTGTCAACACTTTATTTATTTATAGGGAAATTTTGTCAAAAATTAAGTACCTATTTTTTTTACATAATTGGAATGAGAATCATGTACCGAGTATTCTCCTTAAATATTGATAGTAATTCACCAGTCACCCTGTATATAAAAATATTTTTTACTTATAATTTTTGTTGCAATGTCTGTCAATTTGTTTGTTCCGGCTAATATTTGAAAGGGATGGACCTATTTTGCAGGAATTCAATGGGCAGATATAAATAATAGTGACGCAGGCAATATTTACTGTACAATTTCTTATTAATTTTTATTAATATATAGAAGAAAACAATCCACGTAGACGCAATTGCTACACAACGAGCGTAAAATATGACTAAACCTCAAAAAAAATATGTTTGTCCGTCATAAGCGAGTTACGTTTGCTACAGACGAAATTCAGAAAACCAAAAACTACTCTAAACCCCTACTTTTAAAATAATTCATACAATTTAAATCTAATATACTACCTGAAAGTTATGAGGTATCTTACAATGCATACAAAGGCTTTTAATTTAAAGCCAAAGTGTAATGAGTTGCTTTAATAACTCGCATGCTTATCGTGATCATTCACTGCAGGTGTATTATCAAACAGAATTTTGGCAGCGAGCGTCATTATTGCGATAAGATTTGGTCATGACATTGAAACACCTGCATAACTTTCATCATAATTAAAATTGACTCCTCTGAAATATTTATAACATTTATATTATACGAGACCAAATTAATTTAACGACTATTTTGTTAGTGTAATTAAAACAAATCGTACTGTTTACTGGAAACTGCAGTGCTCGTGTAACGTTGTATTCAATATTAAGAAACTTGTTACGATTTAATGACCACTGGTTCTGCAAAATTGATTCCATCGGACGCAATTATGTTAAACAAAGTATGTTTATCATTACTTTTTATTGGTTTCTTATATAAAAATGTATTTATAATAATACAGCCAATAATAATTATTAATGTATTATCATTATTCTTTAAATAACACAGTTTAATAAAAAATACAGATACTGGTATTAATCTGATACTGAAAATCAAAATAGCCCACTCTTAAACCATCGTTTTGGATGAAGGACTCACATTTCTTTATATTTGACGTAAATAAAAGTAGATTTAGTGAATTTGAGAATATATTGAATATTTAAAATAAATGCGTTTAAAGAGAGAACTAACAAAATGGATACGAGATCCTCACAAAGTGCGTTCAAGATTCTTAGTGACAAATCACATGAATATTCATACGTCCTCCTTACAAACGTTTAACACGACACCGTTCTGTATTGACGTTAATTTTTTAACAATTGAAAGTATATATAGTAAAAGTGGTATGTATACTACGGACGCTTGTCCAGTTTACTTTTGATGTTATCTACAGAACTCTTTATAGTTAAATAGTTTAGTACGAGTAATACAAGAATATTCATCTAATTCAGAAGTTCCAAAATTTTTTCTACCACCTGCTTTGAGAATCAATTCTTTTTTATCATCAACAATTTTTATCACCTACTAAAAAACTACTATCATTTATCCTAGACAAATGAAATTACAAATCACGCTTCATAGCTCTACATAGCATCACCATTTTTTTCACCCCCTTCCTTTAAGCCTTTAGCCCCCATTAGGAAAGGTTAACACCCCCTTTGGGAAAAGCTGATCTTACATTTATCTAACAAGAGACAAAACACGAATATTGATCATTTCTGTGCTTTTAAATTCATATTTTCACTTTATCCTAAATTCTATCAACCGTATAAATAAATATTCTAATATATGTAATTGATTGTTTCATTAATTTCGTAATACAATTACGGAATATGTCATTTATTGGTAACAAAAACTGATAATAATGTTTAAAATGTTAAGTAAGGTCAATGCATTGTTTTTATAGACTTACAAAACTGTATATAATCAAATTATTTAAATTAATTCTGTTTCATATTAATTAGCTTGTCATCTGCATTAATGGTTGCTGCAAGTTATTTTCGTCGTTTCATACATTTGATTTAATTTATTACTTTATAAGTATATAGTCATATGAGTTTTGAATGAATTTAAAGATAAAGTAACCAAATATGTTTTCTTGTTATAATCAAATGTACTGCTCTTTAGTTAATTAATTCCTACTACAACTCTTTAAGCATCTTACTTATGGCACTTTTAAGTGAAATTTAGTCTAAAAAGTTATACAAATTATTTATATTTAAATGGCACTTCTAATTAAAGTTCAATTGAAGAATATTATCTAAATCACGCTAGTTTTAAGCAATATAAATAGACGTTTCTAAAGAAAATTATAAAGAAATTAGAACTTCATTTACGGTATCTGGATAGTTACTGCACCATCGGATATGACCACGCAAATAACGTTTGAATAAAGTGTTACAGCGATGTTAAAGTTTGTTTTCAAATCGATTGCTAATTATTAGATACAATACAAAAATCATTGTCACCCTATCACACTAATAAGTAACATCTATACGAAAATTTAAGGCGTAGGTGCTTTTACAATGTTATGCAAAAATTTTGGTTTTCAGAAGCTTATATACCTATATTAAATTTTAATTTCACATATTACTTTTTAAATATATTTTATAGCTTCTGCTACCTTTTTTAGCAAACCTATCTGTATGTAAAAGAATAATCTATACAATTTATTATTTCAATTCGATTGCTCCAGAACAACGAGGAATATGTGTATAATTTAAATAGTATATCATGTAGCTTGGAATTTAGGTGCAAATTTTCACAACGACCTGTTAAATTACGTTCAGGTTGCGTCTCATTCGGTAGTCTGACTGTCAGTATATAGAGGTTTAACAGATATAGCTACAGATTGTATATAGAAAAATAATACTAAAAAAAGATTTATAATACCTAAAAGATTTCATATACATACACATAAAGAAAGCCCAGATGCTGAATGCTTTTATGTCGTAATGAGATTTGCATTTTTCATCTTTTGTCTTAATAGATCTTAACCAAATTGCCATTGAATTACTTTTAAAAACTTACTTTTAATAAAAAGTTATATAATACTAATGATATTCTATTATAAATTTGAATGGTTTGTGTGGCTAGTAAGATAATAACATGTTCCTATGACGGTTTTTCTGTATTGTAATATTTTGTAGTATATTTAAATGACCTATCAGTAAACGGAATATCACCGTTCATACTAAAAATAGATCGATGCTAATTGATGACGCCTCTGACAGCATCATCCGTTTGAATAAATTTCGTATGAAAATGTTTTATATCAAGAAACTTTGTTTCAAATAAAAGTAATTATTTCCCAAATGAGATTATCAATCTCAATAATAAATTTATCTTTATTATTTTAAAGAAATTTTTAATTAGTAATTGTGAAAAATTTATACATTATTATATTTCTTTTGTACTGAAAATAAGTTATACAGTAACTTATAATTAGAATTAATTAAGCTTATCTAAAAGGCACTTACCTTTACCACTTGGTAATTGCAAGCCAAAAAACATTTCTGAAATCTTTGATAACGTAATCTACTTCTATTCTATTCTAATTATGAACTATTACTTAATTCAAAATGTTAATTTGATTATCATTCTCACAACAAGTTTACAGTAAAACGTTAGTTTTTAGTAAAACAACGATTAAATAGTTAACCGTACAAATATTGTTTTAAATAGTGCAATAAATAAGTGTAGGAATATATCTTCAGGCGACTACAAGCGGAGTTCTCTGTTTAATTAAAATATTGAACTAATGTTAAGATATTTGTAATACTCGAAATAAGTAGTCTTATTTTCAACTAACATACATTAATGTTAAAAAATAAAAAAATGAGTTATTTTTTATATCTTCTTCTTCCTAGCTTTAGCCAGCTTCCAGCCTTAGCAAGGGTCTGCCTTCCTGCAAATTTTTATATATATTGTTAATTATTATGTATATTTGGTAAAAGCATTTGTAACTTTTAATGGATAAATTTCTTTCATTTAGAACAGAGTACATTATTTATTATTAGCGGATGGAGTCACTCGCCTCTTATAAGTTGTGCAATTGTGAATCATCTTTGAATGTTTGTTTCCTGTTTCACTTCTAATTAATGTGTGTCTTCATTCAGATCAGGTATTATAATATAATTAATGAAAGTACGGTTACGTATACAATTTGTAAAAATAATTTGAAGGGAAATATTAATTACCTTGGCAAAAACGTCGTAGGTAAAAACCCTTTTTACATAAAAAAGTTATTGTTGTTATTTAATTTAACC